GTAATGCCATTGAATGTCATGTGACAATGGTTGGAATCTCTTCTGTTGGAGATGGTCATCACCTGGCCTTTGTATGATGCAAATTTTATTTGCCACTTTTCAGCATAAGCCTGGATATTGTCCAGGTCTCGCTACATTTGAACGTGGACTGCTTCAGTATCTGCGGAGTCACAAATGATGCAGAACAACATGTAAACATCTGTGAATATCCCCATTATTTCTGACTTTATAAGTGAGATAAACTCATTGATGAAGAAACTGAAGATGGTTGGGCAAGGACGGTGCCCTGAAGAATACCTGCAAGATGCCCTGGAATTGACATGAGTGACATCCAACGATCTTCCTTTCTACCAGAAATGATTCAAACCATTGGAGGGTTTCTGTGTACAAATGCAGCTGCGTGGCAACAAGAAGTCAATTGGTAGCTGGTCATTAATAAATCAGCCTTTTGCCTGTCAACTATCATGTAATTGGTTCTCAGGTAACTGAATAGCTTGGGGATTGGAACAAGACACAGAGGCAAGTGTTTTAGTCTTCACCAGCACAGGTGCTGCTTCTCTGTTCTCTGCAGTAAAATCCTAACTTAAACCTGATGAAAACCAGCACACCTTTCCTTCAGCTGCACTTGTAAGCTGTGACTTTTAACTGAGAAACCAGCCAGCTTGTGTCTCTTACAAACAGTTGAAGCATCGAAGAAAGACAATGAAAAGCAATGTTCTGACCAGCACAAGAATCGTAAGGATCACCTCAACAAGCTGTGTATAGGAATCATAGAACTACCTCTCAGCTCTCCATCACCCATTACTTAATTGTCCTTGTCTGTGCATGTGTAAGGGGGAGTTTCGTAGGATAAAGGTTTTAATTTGTACTGTTATATGCTGTTGGTGTTTATAGTGTTTTAACTCTATTTATAGTCTAATTACTTGTAATAAATAGTAATTCTTGTTAAGTACAGAAACAAGTCCTACTTTCTAACAACCTAAGTATGAAAATCAGGTAAACTGTGTATTTTATGCATTTATTTTAAAATCTTTAGCTCTGCCCAGTCTGCTTCATTGCGAGGGTATCTGCAGGCCATTCTTGCTAGTCAGGAAAAGACGTTGCCCTGCCACCAATGCTCACATCTCATGAATTATTTTAAAAAACACACTGTGCTTGGATTGTAATGCCATTCCCATGGCAACTTCCTGGAATTCCTTACCTAATGCTATTGTGGGAGCAGTATCATCAAAAGATCCAAGCAAAGTCAAAAGCCATCTTCACAGGGCATTAGAAATTAGTAGCTTTACCTATATCTGAAGATCTGTAGTAATAAAAAATGCCTATTTAATCAAACTAGGGAACTGATTAAGTTGTAGTCTTGCAAAGCTAGAAGGACCACAAAGCATGATGGGCTGGACAACTCAGCTTATATTATTTTATAAGGTTAATGTACTTTAGTTATTATCACATACAGCATTATTCATTGTCTGCCCTCCCATTGATAATATGGGGCATGTTAGATAGAACCTATGGAAATATATACTAACCATGCACAGTGGCTTTGGGAGAAAGAATACAATTAAGGTATATGGTGAGTGTGTTTGTATTCATACCTTCATGTGCCCAAATATGACGCTGCAAATCTGTACCATTCTTCCGGAAATAGCAGTCGCAATAAGGACATTTCACTGCTCGCTTTCCAATCAATCCTTTTAGTTGTACTCGTTTCCCCAGAATCTCTGAGATAGTGCTCATAGGGACCTCTGCAAATGGATGTTACAATGATTTAAATGAAAGTGAATTCATAGCCTGTTGGGCAACATCAACAGCCTTTGAATTAGAACACTGTATGACATGAGGTAGATATGTACCAAACACGAAATTTAACTAATGGGGAATTATTGAAAATTTATGGAAGGCCCTTGCTCTCAATTTAAAGGGTTTCAGATGTGAGGAGGCAGAACAGTCTAAATTGGCAGTGGAAATGGTCTGGTGACGATATTAGAAAACAAATCTATTTTACCTAAACATGAATTTAGAAAGTAACAGCAAATCAGACTCCAAATGAAAACTTATCAGGCATGTCCTTTTATTTCATGCAAAAGAAAGGCAGTTAGATTTTAAGTTCATAGAATCATACAGTACAGAAGAGGCTCTTCAGCCCATCAAGTCTGTTCCACCAAAAATATACTACTACTCACATTGGTCCCACTTACTTGCACGAGGCCCATAGCCTTGAATGTTATGATATTTCAAATGTTTATCCAAGTACTTTTTAAAGGTTGAGGTTACCCGTTTCAACTACCCTCCTAGACAATGCATACCAGATTTTTTCTGACACCTTCTGGGTGAAAAACGTTTTCCTCAAATTCCCTCTAAACCTCCTGCCTTTCAACTTAAAAGGGTGCCTGCTTATTCTTGACCCATTGACTAAGGGGAACAGTTGCTTTCTATTCATCTATCCATGCCTCTCATAATCTTATATACTCCTGTCAGGTCACTCCTCAACCTTCTCTGCTCCAAAGAAGACAAGTTTATCCAGCATCTCTTCATAGCTTGATCTATCTCAGGCAAAATCCTGGTGAGAGTCCTTTGCATCCCATTAATGCAATCACATCCTTACTATAGTAAGGTGACCAGAACTGCACCCAGTACCCCAGCTGTAGCCTACCTAAAGTTCTGTACACCTCCAACATAACCTCCTTGTTATAATAATCTATGCCTTGGCTAACAAAGGTACATGTCCAGTATGCCTTATTAAGTACCCTACTGATCTGTCCAGCCACTTTGATGAACCTGTGGACAAATACCCCAAGATTCCTCTGAGCTTCCTAGTGTCCTGCCATCCCTTGCCTTATTACTTCTTTGCCTCACATTCATCAGGGATAAATTCCATCTACCAACCAGTCTATATCTTCCTGTAACCTAAGACCTTCTTCCTATAAACCACTGAGCCAATCTTTATGTCATCTGCAAACTTAATTATCATGCCCCCATATTCTCATCTACATCATTTATGAATATCATAAACAATAATGGACCAGCACTGATCCCTGTGGAATGCCACTGGAAACTGGGCTCCAGTAACACAAGCAGCCTTCCACCACCACTCTCTGTCTCATATCGCTAAGCCAATTTTGGATCCAACTGCCAAGCTACTGTGGATCTTATTAGTTTCCCATGTGGGACTTTGTCAAAGGTCCTGCTAAAAATTAATATAAACTACATCAACAGCCCTACACACATCTATACATTTGGTCACCTTGAAAAATTCAAGTAAATTCTAGGCATGACCTCCCTTTGATAAAACCATGCTGACTATCACTGATGAAAGCCTGTCTCTCTAAATGAAGATTAATTTTCTCTCACTATTTTCTCCAATTGTTTCTTTACTACTGATGTGAGACTCACTGGTTTATTGTTACCTGGTCTATCTCTACCACTCTTCTTGTAAAGTGAAATCACATTTGCTGTCCTTCAGTCCTCTGGTACCTTCCCTGAGAGCAAAGACAATTTGAAAATCGAAATACGATACAGACCATTGGAACTCTTGAACTGGAGCTGACCTTGTACTAGTAGGAATTAGAAATTCAGGCGCAGAATATGAGACTTGACTCTCTGCATTCAAATGCCTAAGGCATTCATAATATTCAGACAGGGCTGGGGTGTAATTGCTGACAAAGAGGAAGAAAGGGCAGTGGCTAGATTGGCAGGTACGAAAAACAATTAATAGTTGGGTCAAGTAGTAGCTGGCTTGGGGCAAATAGTAACTGGCAGGGTAGGAAGGATAAGGAGAGGGTGGTTGGGGCATAATCTTTTCCATGCTTCAAATTCACAAGTCTTGCGCTTTTCCTGCTGGTGACCACCATCTGGAGTTATGAAAGTGGTGTGAAAAATGCTCATTCATTCTTGGAATCGGAAAAATCTTCAAGTCTAATGCTTTTCAGAAGATGAACTTGCCATCCTTACAAGATCTAGCTTACAGGTGACTCTACAGAAATATGGTTGACCTTTAACTGCCCTGTGAAGTGATACAGAAAGCCATTCAATTTTAGCAAACTCTATGGAATCAAGGACTATGGGTGTACTGAAACCAAATGGTGGTTGAAAATGGTGGCTCATCACCTTCTCCTCAAGGGCAATTAGGGATGAATAATAAATGCTGGCCTTGGCAGTATTGCTCAGATCTCATGAATTAATTTAGAAAAATCACACTATTCTGGCTTGGATTATGCCAGTCTTTCAATGTTGCACAATGTTGCAAATTCCTGGAATTCCCTACCTAATGCTATTGAGGGAGCACTATTATCAGAAGATCCACATGAGGTCAATGGAGAGGTGATCATCTAGTGGTATCTCTAGATTATTAATCCATAGACCCATGTAATGCTTCACAGCAGTTGATGGAATTTGAATTCAATAAGAATTTGAAATTAAGAGTCTAATGATGATCATAAAACCATTGTCGACAGTCAGGAAAAAACCACGTGGTTCACTAATGTCCTTTAGGGAAGGAAATTGCCATGCTTACCTCATCTGGCCTACATGTGACTCCAGGCCCACTGCAATGTGATTGATGCTTGGCTGCCTTCTGGGCAATTAAGGATGGGTAATAAATGCTGACCTGGCCAGTGATGCCCACTTCCCATGAAGGAATTTGAAAAAACATGATTTTATTGATTCCCTGATGCAACAAAGATGATACTGAGTTCAGAGGCTCTCCCCCAACTACTTGGGAACTACACAAGAAATGGTTCCTGACTGGGGGAACCTTATTGGTTTGCTGTGATTTTAATGCCTGTGCCTGACACTGCCTCACCACAGCTCAAAACCTAAGGTCATGCTCCTGCTGTATGCCAAATGGTGATTGGCTTTTGTAAATGGCATGCAGTAAAGGTGATAAGTTTGAATTTGAAGCCTGCAATCTACATTCAATGTGGCTGCTCTTTTTTGGGGGGCATGGGGAAACAACAAGGGGAGGGATTTTTGTTAAATTAACATTTTTACAATCAACGTGGGTGTAAATGAATAAAGAAAGGGAGCTAGCTCATCAGTTCTCCCCCAATAAGGAAGTCTTACTGCAACTATACAGGAGCCTAGCGAGACAACAACTGGAATACCGAGGGCAGTTTTGGTCCTTTTATTTAAGGAATGATACTGTTTCATTGGAGGCAGTTCAGAGAAGGTTCGCTAGGATGATTCCTGGAATGGAGGATTGTCTTAAGAGGCTAAACAGGGTTGGACTCTATTCATTGGAATTTCGAAGAATGAGAGGTGATCTCATTGAAATGTATAGAATATGTAAGGGGCTCGAGAATGTTTCCCCTCATGAGAGGGCCCAGATCCAGGTGGCATAGTCTCAAAACAAAGGGGCACCAATTTAAGACTGGGATGAGGAGGAATCTACTCTCTCACAGGACTGAAAGTCTTTGGAAATTCTTGCCACAGAAAGCCAAGGGGACAAAGTCCTTGTGTATATTTAAAGCTGAGATAGATAGATTTTTAATCAGTAGGGGAATCAGAGGTTACCAGGAAAATGCAGGGAAGTGGATGTGAGGAATATCAGATCAGCCACAATCCTATTCAACTGTGGAGCAGGCTTGAAGGGTTGAATTGCCCAATCTGTCCCTATTTCTTATGGTCTTATGGAAGCTCGACAGTTTGTGGTTGCTATCTGGAGCCATAATAAATTTTGCAGCCTCACTAGATGACAGGTTCTAATAGCAATAGCAATATAGATTCTTCAGTTAAATTGTTTGATGCTGTCATTTGGCTTTTGCTCTTGTGTAACGCTATATGTACTCTTGACTGATTATAGGTAATACTGATTCATTAACATATAGAGTGATGTAATTTTCATTGGCTGACAATTGTTCAGGTGAGTGAGTCACTGGAATTCCTCTATCCCATAGTTTTAAAGGATATGATCAATGTAGGGGTATAGTTTGAAGGTCTCAGAACTCTGCTGACACCCAAGTGTCATTAGTGAACCTAGCCCTTGACTTAAATTATTTACATCCAAACCTAAATGTTCCTAACCATATTCATACATTTGCATTTTCAGTATATGTCATCATATGGCAATCAGTATATGGGAAAGTGGGAAAATTATTTTCCCTTCTTTAGCCTCAAGATACTGAAGAATAAACCAGCATCTCAATCATTGCATCAGAATGAAATGATGAATTAACTGTTAACAAAGCATGAATATTACCTCTTCACATCACAGATTATAGTTTATAGGCTTTACCAATGAAGTTAATGAATTATGATGTTGTCCTGTTAATAAACTGATTATTAAAGAAGAACTTAGTAAGTGTCACTCAGCTTTTAATCTTGGAATTATATGTAATTTAAAACACAAGAGTTTTTGCTCTTGGGTTATTAAGCTGAACTTGAATTTATAAAGTAAGAGCCAAAAGAGATAAACTAACTTCATTCAGCAGAAATGTCAAGACTTATCTGTGGTACAGATGTGGCAACTTACCTGGATGATATGAGGTGATGTGAGACTTGATAAGACGATCATCTGAAAAGGATTTTTCACATACTGGGCAAGTATAAGTTTTCCTCTCCTGAATGAAAGTATTGCAAAACAAGAAATCAGAACCATCTCAACATTTTGTTTACATACATATAACCATATACAAGAAAAGTATTGCGCCTTCTGTGGCATTTTGTGTCCTGTTAATCTGTTTTAGCTATGTCGGTTGAAGGACTCATATCTCTCATGTGACAAGTCACAAACCATCCTGATTTGGAAACCTACAATTGTTGCATTGTCACTAAGTCACAATTCCAAAACTCCATACCAAATAGCATTGTTTGAACACCGCAGGGGACTGCAGGAGTTCAAGAAGGTCCACCACTACCTTCTCAAAGGCAACTGTGGATTGGCAACAAATACCATCAGAATTTTCAGCAATGTCCACCTCCTGAAAATAAATCATCATAGATCATAGAATCCCTATATCTATAATCCCTGTGTAAACAGGCCCTTCAGCCCAACAAGTCCACACCAACCCTCAGAGAATCCGACCCAGACTCATCCTCCTGTAACCCACCTAATCTACAAATCCCTGGACCCTATGGGCAATTTAGCATGGCAATCCGTCTAGCCTGTACATCTTTGGACTGTGGGAGGAAACCCACGCAAACACGGAGAGAATGTGCAAACTCCACACAGACAGTTACCCGAGGGTGGAATCGAACACGGGTCGCTGGCGCTGTGAGGCAGCAGCGCTAACCACTGAACCATCGTGCCGCCCCAGAAATAATGAAAACGTTATATGAAATGCAGGATGTGCAGACTGCATAACATCATAACAGATTAAGTCTGGCCTTTGGCACAAGTTGTTCTTTTACTTATTCGTGGAAGAGTGTGGCTGGTAAGGTCGGGATTTATTGCTCTCTCCCTTATATTTGACTGGCTTTAGAGGACAGTTACAGTTAACCATATTGTTATGGAGTTGGAGTCACATATTGGCCAGGCAAAATAATGGCAGCAAATTTCTTCCTGTAAAGAACATTAGTGAAGCAGATGAGTTTTTGATGACAATTCAGTAGTTTCATCATCACCACTGCTGATACACACTTATTTTTTAATTCCAGATTTAATCAAGTTAGTTTGAATTCCCCAGTGCTAGAGTGAGATTGGAACTTATTTTCTGGGGTCAGTAATTGAAATCTTCATTTCACTAGTGCACCAACAAAACGCCACTGGGCTGCCATACTCAACACATCCAGAAGCTGCAAGTCCTCCACATTGATAAATTACTCTGGTATTTTATAGAAATTTCTGTCAACATCTAATTGGACCTAGCTAATTGAATAACTAATAATAAATTGAATCATTCGCTAATGAATAATTAAATCCACAAAGACCAGCATCCCTTATTTAGGTATCATCTTTAAAAATTTGTTGTGCATCCAGACAAGCTCTCACATTCTGAAGTGGCCCTGCTCCTTGACAGACAGATTAGAGAAAGATGGCACCATGTTTCTCTGACAAAGAGCTGGAGATCCTGGTGGATGGTTGGTCCAGAGGAGAAGTGTCTTTTTCCTGGAGAACCAGCAGAGGAGGCTGTGAAACCAGGCCATGGTTTGACGTAACCACCTAGATCAGTGCTGTTCCCACGGTGTAGATGAATGGCTTGCTAATGCGAGCAGTGTGGTTCTTGTTGGCCACATGTAGCAATCATGCAAGGAAGCAGTCAAACAGGTTACCATGGTTATTGCCACACAATAAATGACTGTGGATTAATCATCTTCTGCAATTCCCTTAACCATTTTCTGGGTTTAACCAGCTGGAAATTAGTAACTGTAGGGCTGCTACATAATGTCAGCTTGTATATTAGTCATCATGTAAACCTTGTATTGCAATTGATGATGTCACCTAAATAAACTTCCCAACCATTAATAGTCAGATAAAGTGTCTTAAATGTAATCAGACAGCTCCTGACAAAGAACGTTTTTTGTCTCGTTCTACTCATCCTTTCTGAATAGCAATTCTGTTGTACTCACATTTAGTGCTAACATCCGCTTTTACAAGCAGACAGCATCTTGGTGTAGCCTTAGCAAAAGGATCTTAGCACATTTCATAATTGAAGCCCTATTGCCGAAAACTAATCAAAATGCAAGATTTCAGCATATTTCATTATCATGAGCCTATAAGGAGCAAAGACACCCTACTGTGGTCAAATTTCTCACACTAACTGTATTTTGTAAGCTTACAAATGGACTACAATACCATTAGAGCTGTTACAGAGTTCAAGATGAGACTTTTCAAAAGCTCTTTCCTCTTGAATAGCTGTTTTTCTTTGGGACGATATTCATTTGAATTTCAGGAAGATCATGTGAATCATTTGGTAAAGGATCAACTGAATTGTTGAGGAAAGGGAAGTAAAGGACAGCTTTTGACTGAAAGTTTTCTATCTGGATTATTAGATGTGCCATATCTTCATGTAAAGATGATTTAACAATTTTGATGATCAGAAAGGGAATTGGCCATTTACCAGTCAAATTAGGCCCCATATTCATGTGAAAAGTTTGAGAGTTGGAGAGTAAAATAGAAAGTAATGTAGAATGTATTGAGTCAAAAGGAAAGCATTGTGAATTAAATTATCAGGGAGAGCCTCACAAACAAGTCATGTATATAGATTTCAGCATTGATATGACGCCAGGTACGTAAGACATCAATCTCAAAGACTGGCGATAGTATCAAACAGCACGATGCTTTGTAGGAACAAATTACTGCAGATACTGGAATCTATACTGAAAACAAAACATGCTGGAAATCACTGGGGGTCACGCAGCATTCATGGAAAGACAGCAATCTAACGTTTCAGAGATTGTAGGAACTGCAGATGCTGGAGAATCTTAGATAACAAGGTGTAGAGCTGGATGAACACAGCAGGTCAAGCAGCATCAGAGGAGCAGGAAGGCTGACTTTTC